TCTTAGAGACGAAAATCAAGTCACACTCTTCTAAAAAGCCACTATCGCTACCAATATGAGTTACGATCAATCTTTGACCTTTCCCTGACGGTCCACGAAGACCTGTTGACAAACCTTCAATGCTTGCTTGTCGGTTACTCACTACGGTTTTTGTCTATCCAGGTTTTTTTAACTGTGTGACCTGCATTTACCCATGTCTCGTCCAAATAATAGATTTTTCTGCTTTGTCGCCTATATTCAATCATTTCGCGTAGGTATTTTCGACTTCGACGCCAGGCGACTATTTCAGGTGTCTCTATCAATACTGACTTCCGATTACGCGTTTCGTAACGAAAATTAATTTCGTGCAGGGATTTCCCCATTACCTCGACGCTAATTTGGGGTATAATTTCATTTTCCTTGATCGCTGCATGTACAGCCTTGAGGGTTGGTATCTCATTCCTAAAGAAGAATGAATGTACGGTTCGCCTTAACACCATTTTGCTATCGTCATCCAATTTAACGGCCTTTCGTCCCTTCAAATTAAACTTTGGATCAGTAGTAGCTCCAGTTTTCTTCTTTTCATGCACCACCCTGCGAATGGTCCGCTCTGGAACGCCTATCATACTTTCACAACGCGCGAGTGCATCTCCTTGCGACATAGTTCTGTTCAGACAATTGAACACGTTGAGCAGGATTTCTTTCGCGTCCCTCTTCAGTGCTTTACGAAGCCGTCTACTTGTTCCCTGGCTTTCAGTACTTCCACTCATGCCATTTGTACTCTCCATGGTTAAGTATAACCAAAACAGTAACCACAGAAACCACAACAATAACAATCACACAACAATTCTTATAAAAACACACAATATGCGATCGCTCAACGAAACACGTTCCAATGCGTTGCCGACGCCTATGAGTCTGCCGGTCGAGGCGCGTTTTTGATTTCATTGGTTTTACCGGCGGAGAACAATCAGCCATTATTTCCATCTCTGTCTGTGCTGTTGACCACCGCAAAGCCACAGAAACGACATATGTCGTACGCTATACGGCTGTACTGGAAGGAAGCCGGGATCGAGCTCTGATCACGTGTTGATCACGCGTATGAGTCATTACAGTTTTAAATAGTTGTAGTATAGCCAATAACCTACCAGAACTTTTGGAACAGACCTTAGATAACATGCCATTACAACGAAGACAGAATTTGTGGTTTCTTCATGACGGGGCACCACCACACATTTTTAGAGGCGTCATTCAGTATTTGAATGAACATTATCCAAATCGCTGGATCGGTCGAAATGCTTCGCGAAAAAAAAATTAATGCGGCTGAAATAATAATTGGACAACTTCGAGGACCTAGAGTAAGAAGAAACTGGGTTCGTCGTAATGAAGCTTGTGTGGAAAGTGGAGCACGACATTTTGAACACCTTCTTTAAATACAAAAAAAGTGCAGAGTGGGTTTTAAAAAGAAAAACAATGTATGTATCAAAATTGTGTTCCCTATTTATAAGTCAATTTTTTTAATACGTTCAATAAACTTTCATACACCAGGTGAAGCGCTGAGACAGTTAGTGGTAAGTCCGTATTTTTTAATGTTTGCATTTTACGAGTACATTATCAAATATGAAATAATACCTAAGAGCCAAAAATAACAAACTCCATCTTTATTTACACTGCGCTCCGTCGTAATTTGCGTCTGGCATTGCGGCGTTGTCAGATTTTATTTTACTTTAAAGTCGCTTTTCTCTAAAAAAATGCCGTTTTGACCCCCATGTCATATGAAACTTTTTGCTTCTTTTAATCCTCTCTAACACCCATTTAAATAATGACTATCATAACGTTTACACCCTGTATGCAAAGAACTTTTCCAAATGAAGAGTTGTTAAATGAATCTATAGCGTACAAAAAACCACAACAAAATATGGATGTGTCTACAGTATATTCAGATAAGAGATAGACCGGATGTAAACAAAAGGTTCGGGTGATTTTCACGCTAACGCCGCCGTCTCGACGTAAAACAGGAGCCCTCATTGGTCAATTCGCAATTAAATGCCTATGCCGAGCGGCAGAGCAGTCGTATCAAGACAGAGTCACATTCAGGTTCAGACGTGTTACGTATGTCGTGTGCATCATTGCAATTTGATATTTCTTTGGACGTTTTCGTTTGTTATCTTATTAAATTGTTGAGTTTGTCGTTGTTATTGTTATACCTTGTTATTGATTGTTATTGTTATCAACTGCTTGCGCAAAATGCCCAGTAGTACAGATACTGCCGATGAAGTTGTAAACTCCTGTAGTCCACCTAGGAAACGCTCTAAAAAAAGACACCTGAGTGCAGAAATGAAAGAGGTCATTTTGAATATATATAAGATCGAGCGCGAGGAGATCGAGGCATCAACCATCAAAGAAATTGTTGTGAAGGTTTCTCGCAAAGTTGGGGTGTGTCGCGCATCAGTGTTTAATGTGTTAAGACAATACAAAAAAAATCACACCTTTTCTGAGCCAATGACCAGTAAACATCGCAAAAGTATTGTTAAATCATTGGATGAAGCTGATAAGCATGCGATTAGGAGGAAAGTGCAAGAATGTTTCTTTAGGAATGAAATACCTACTATAGATAAAGTACTGCAGGAGGTAAATGGAGATACAACGTTGCCAAATTTCAAACGATCAACTTTCCATGCGTTACTGAAGCATTTAAATTTCAAATGGAAAAAACGGGGTCGTAATAGGATACTGGATGCGTACTGGATAGAGAAGAAATTGTGCTATGGAGGAGGGATTATTTAACAAAAATTGGGAAATATAGAAATCAAAACAGGAAGATTTATTACCTTGATGAAACGTGGGTTAACGCAGGACACACTACAAGTAAAGTATGGGTTGATGATTCTGTAACTTCATCCAGGAGGGCCTTTCTAGATGGACTGTCCACCGGATTAAAAAATCCAGCAGGTAAATACGAGTAATAGACAACAATCGGATGTTTTTCAAACCTTGGGAACAAGGTTCTAAACATTAATTCCAGGGGGCAGATAAAACATATTACACGTAACAAAACTTTTATAACTTTCGATAAAATGCGTGGATGTTTTATTGTCATTTTCATTTGTTAGAACTTTTTTAAGCCATTTTTATGTGTTTTCGATATTTCAATAATTTTTTAATATAATCTTAAGATATGTCGAATATTATAAACTTAAAAAAAGTTACTAAGTTTTATATTGTGTACCGTTCCTAATATTTCTAATCATTTTAATTCATACTTTAAGCTTTATAAAGTTATAATTTGTTAATATTAATATTTGCGCGTATTTCAGGTTCCTGATCATTCATTTTTTAAAGGTTTATAACTTTAAATTAAATTGTGAAGCGCTGAGTAATCATACGACGTTCAATATTCTTTCTTTCAATATGACTAAATAATCCCAATTATAGCAATCTGATACTCATGTCTCAATGTTTTTTCGCTGAATGTGATGAAAACATTTGAAAAAGGTTCGCTTATTGAAATAAATCTACACCAGTTAGTACTTCGATTTCCAGGTAAAGGGAAAAGGCTCATTATCTGCCATATTGGCAGTGAGGATGGATTTGTTGTTGACGGTCTGAGGTGCTTTGAGTCTAAGAAAACTGGAGATTACCACGAGGAAATGAATGGCGAATCGTTTGAACAGTGGTTTTCAAAAATTTTACCGAACTTAGAGGAAAACGCAGTAATTGTGTTGGATAATGCGCCTTATCATTCTCGAAGAATGGAGAAGGTCCCAACAACGGCTTCAAGGAAAGTTGATGTTCAAAATTGGCTCCGCTCGAAAAATATCAACTTTGAAGAAGCAATGCTGAAAGTAAAATTATTAAGAATTGTCAAGGATCACAAGGCGGAATATCAAAAATAAGCCATTGACGAAATGGCAGCAAGTCAAAATAAAACTGTGCTCCGTTTACCTCCATACCATTGCGAGCTCAATCCCATTGAGCTCATATGGGCAAAGGTTAAAAATTATATAGCTAAGCACAATACAACTTTTAAATTTTGTGACCTCAAAGGACTTTTCAAAGAAGCACTAGAATTAATAACAGCGCAAAAATGGGAAAACTGTATTAAGCACGTGAAAGACAAAGTTGAAAAGAGAATGTGGGAACTGGACAATATTTTAGAGGAACAAGTCGAGCCATTCATTATTGACGTTGGTGCTTCAGGCAGTAGCGATGATGAAAGCTCATCAAGCTCATCTTTCCAATAAAAGATGTCGTTCATCAAATTCGGTAAGTTATAAGTAATTATAAAGCTACTGTATTTTTTAATTAATTATTGACATTTTTGAACCCATTTTGGCAAAACCTATTCAAGAATCTACTTTCTGACAATGTTCAACCATGCACATTTTTTTACGTTTTGAACGTTTTAATTTGGTTACATATTTACCTGGAAATCAAAAAATATACTAATCAATATTCTAAAAGCAATTTTAAGAGATATACGATTATTTTTAATTTAGGCTAATTTAAACGCCATTTTGAGATTGTATTCGACTGTATTTCACCAAACATCAGGCGGCATCCGAAGCTGGAAATCGAAGCGAACATTTTGAAACCCTTATGTATATTTACATCATTATATATTTCTTACCCCACCCCCGCATGATCCTATATCCATCACCAATCGTATACACATCGAATTTACTACAAAGTTACGCAAAGCAGCATCTACTATCTAAAATATGTACTGCGTGACTCTTAATACGTCCCTGCCGAATGTTACAGCGTTCGATGATCACGTGGTCTTGTTTATGTCCGGTCTATCTCTTATCTGAATATACTGTACCTGGCGTTGTCCGATTCCTCAGAATTAATTATGGCACTACATAATCAGATGTTATTCTACCTTGATGGATACTCGTGAAAAATACCGTAGTAAACACTGTCGTGTAAACATAGTTCCTAACCTAATTCTAATTCGTCGGCTCCGTCTTTGAGGACGTTGCTGATACTATGTACCTATTATCAGAAGGAAACTGTACCTCTAAATGCGATATCCTGGTGGCTCTCACACGAAATTTCAAGATCACATCCAGCAGTTTTTTGTTGCCCAGCAGAGCGGATACATACAAAATGTTTTGACCAGTGGCATCTCTTTCATTGATATCAAACGGCATATAATACTCCCACTGGTCTGTACTATCTCTGTAAAATAATACGAAAAAAAAATCATGCTAATATTCCTAAGCAACCAACTACAACCTTAAACCATCAATTTGCTAATTTAGGACGAAAAAAAAATAGTATAGAAAGAAGCTTACCTATATTTTTTCATTATATGCGCAGGGTATGGAAACTGGAATAACAGCTCTAAAACAGAAACGTGTCCATTTATACAACAGGCATGTATAGGAAGCCATCTTTCTACTGTATGTTGCTGGAAAAGGTAACCTGATTAACATTGCAAAGAGAAACGGATCATTTTCGATGATTTTTGGAGTCGTTTTATTTTACCAGTGGCCAACGACCGTTTATGTTTCCTTTACTCATGTTAGTCTAATCATATTAGACGAAATTATCCCTGGTTTGCGAAATAATTGGAAAGTCTTGTTTTATTGATTCAAGTTGTTCAGGGGGCATTTAAAACATAGAAGCATAAAATGGGTACAGCAATTTTTGTGGGAAAACTTTTTATTCGTCAACAAAGAATGAGAAACTCTGTTTACAACTACGAGCCCCTTCCCACTTCAGTTGGCCCAACTATTAAAATCTTAGTTTTTTTCTTGTCAAACACAAATAAAAATGTAGCAGGGTGCTATAGGTTTAAAATATTAACAATGAATATTTTGATAATATATAGTAGAAAACATCAACTTTATCACTCCCTAATCAAATTTGCAGCATAAAAATAACACATGTTGCAATTACAGAATATCAACCTATTTTCATTTCAATGCAAAATAAGTCTATAACGCATAGGTGGCTGTGAAAAATAAAAGCCATGACAATTGTTTTTATTAATCACAGCTGTCGGAATACGTTTAAAATAGTTTTGGGTAGTTAAAGTTTTCAAAATGGGTAGAGGAAAGGTTATTAGTGAGAAAATTCGGTTACTGATAATTTAATTTTTTAATTCTGGGAAATCAAACTCAGAAATTGCAACTTTGTTAGACTTATCGCGGTACAGTGTGAGAGATATTGTTAGAAGATATAACGTAACTGGTTCAGTTAATATTAAGCCATGATATGTGAAAAAAAGTAGTATCACAAATGCCGACCGAAGAGCATTAAGAAGAATAATCGTGAAAAACAGGCGTGCCAACTATTTACAATTAAGTGCTCTGTAGAGTGACGCTGTTGGAAGAAGAATTTCGAGGTCCACAACACATAGAGAGGCCCACAAACTGGGATTTAGCACTTAGAGGTAAGTTTTATAATAAAAAAAAGTGAAGTAAAAACCCTAAAGTTGCACAACTTGTTTATAGGCCAAAGCAAAGCCACTATTAACTCCACTACAAAAGAAAAATCGGCTTAGATGGGCTACAGAACATAGACAATGGACACCTCAACAATGGTGTGCAATACAATGGAGTAATGAGGCCTGATTCGAAGTTTGTGTTGGTGACAGTCGCAGTAGAGTTATTCGCAAAAAAAATGAAGCATTCCATGTTGACTGTCTGAAGAGAAAAGTGAAATTTCCAGCCTCAATTATGGTCTGGGGCAGTATGTCATCAAAAGGAGTAGGAAAACTTCATTTTATTGATGGAAATGTGGATACAAACAAATATTTGACAATTTGAGAAGAATCGCTTTTACTTTTCAAAAAAGGCTATAAAATGGACGGAAGAAAATAATGTACCACTTTTGAAATGGGTTTCTAGCAGTCCAGATCTGTCACCTATTGCAACTTTGTGGCACGAGATAAAAAAAGGTTCTACGACATCATCTTGCTCGTACAATGACCGAACTGAGACAAAAGCTTCAAGAAATATGGGATTGTTTTACACCAAATTTTTGGAAAAACTTGGTTAACACTATGCCCCAAAGAATTTCAGCCGTAATAAAAAATAAAGGTGATGTTACCCAATGGTAATCTTTCAATTGTTTCTTTGTTAGCTTCACGCATTTATTCGCACATTGTTTATTTGTTGAGATGTTCTATTAGTTATAGGTCTAAGTGATTTCAAATATGTATTTTTTACGACTAGAGTGTATCTAAAATATACTAAGTGACGTATAAATCCGAACACCCAGTTTAAATGGTTTTATTTTAATAAAATTTTGTATAAGTACTTAATGAAGCATAATAAGTAAATGATAAAAATTTCAAAATGATTGCACTGCTTTAAAACCCTTTGACCTTTAACAATGTGTGGATGCACCCTGATGTGCTACGCATTCTCCAACGCGCCTAGGCATGCTTCTGATCAGGTGGTCAATGTCCTCCTGTGGTATCTCATTCCAGGCAACAACCAACTCCTCTCGAAGTGCTTCTAGAGTCTGAGGAGGACGTTGCAAATTGAGCAATCTCCTACCCATCATATCCCACACGTGCTCAATTGGGGATAAGTCGGGAGATCTTGGTGGCCATGGTAACAATGTGACATCATTATGTTGAAAGAAGTCTATTGTGACTCTTGCAACATGTGGTCGGGCATTATCTTGTTGGAAAGTTGGATCTGCCAGGGTGTCAAGATATGGTAAAAGATGGGGTTCTAGAACTTCGTGGATATAACGCTGCGCGTTCATGTTACCTCTGATGAAGATTAAAGGTGACCTGGAACCATAAGCTATAGCACCCCAAACCATAACTCCAACAGTGTGATGAACATGTCTTTCAACAAAAAACTGTGGATTCCTCCTTTCACCACGTCGCCTTCTAACCCTGGCACGACCATTGTGCATGCCTAAACAAAATCGAGACTCGTCACTAAAGACAATACTGTTCCATTCCTGATCCCAGAGTGACCGTTGTCTGCACCACTCAAGGCGATTACGTCGGTGTTCTCGAGTTAAAGGGAGGACCCAGTGTGGCCGGTATGAAAACAAGCCAAAACTACTCATTCATCGGTAAACACTTCGCATGCCAATAGGTCTTGCGTGTTCTGCAAACCATTCATTTGCAATGGACCTGGTAGTGGAGAAACGGTTCCTTAAGGCCAATAATCTTAGGCGGCGATCTTCACGGTCTGTTGTTCTACGGCGGCGTCGAGTGCCCCTTGCTCTTTGCGTACGGCCTTCTCGAAGCCATGCCTGACAACACCTAACCACAGTGTCTACACTTCTTTGCACTCTAACTGCAATTGCCCGAAAAGAAAGTCCAGCTTCCCGAAGTACCACTATACGGCCCCTATCAAACTCACTAAGTTGACGAAATCGTACAGGTCTCCGTACTCTCGGCATCGTAACCGATCGTAAAGGATGTCAAGAACCAAAATCCGCCAACGTTGATTCTTTACTGCGGCTGAAATATTCATTTTTAGATCGTTAGTGAATTAAAAAAAAGCAGTATAAAAACCGGAATGTCCAACTGATAAGGCTGAAAATTTTTTCACTTGTTATTTACAGTAAGACAAATACACCAACTTTTATTAAAATAAAACCATTTCAACTGGGTGTTCGGATTTATATGTCACTTAGTATATTTTGAGAAAATAAATTGTTTGAGAAGTAAATAGTTTCGTCATGTTTAGTTTATAAAGGCATATTTTGGTACAAATCTTGAAGTGGGACAACTGAAGTGGGAAGGGGCTCGTATACTTGAAATTGACAGACGTCAAGAGAACGTTAGAGCCATATCATATCTGATATAAACAATTACACTACTCTTGAAAACTATACAAGATATAATTCTGAATCTTTAAATAATGTATTAGGGACTAATAACGAGCATTTTGCCTAATTTTTAAGACGGTCAGTTCGCTACAATTGATTGATATTTCTTTACTTTTTTTTTCGTTTTCTCGAGTTTATTTTTCAACATTTTGAACTCGCAGTCGTTTTAAACGAACGAGATTTTGAAAACAGACGTGTACTATATTAATACTTTTATAAAAAAAGTCTAGAGAATTATATTTCTTCGTAAAGAGACTGGATTATGTGACCTACTTATTTGACAAAGGCATGCAGTCATCAATAATGCAGCCATTTAGCACATGCTACGTACTAACCAGTCTAAGACAGTTTAAAATATAATTGTCTGCAGTTTGCGTGCTAACTTTATAAACAGTTCAACGCATTTGAGTATGGGATATCTTTTTACAAACTTTAGGGCTCATCTGTGACCATGTGAAAATTTCAGCTCTAAATATGTATACACAAGAGGATGAAATCTTGAAAAAAGACGGTTTTCTTCTTAAAAAAAGCTGATAGACATCTGCTTTGTTTTAAAATGTGTATAATAACGTATGTTTTACGAATATCGTAGCGAATCTGTTCAGTTACTCATATATACGAAATGCTTGAATATGTTTAGAAGAAAAAACTGTAACCCTTCGTTTTTCGCAAAAAATAATAATTATCTTTCGGAATGGTTTGTGAATCACGTCGGCAAGGTAAATTCGTGTATTTTGCTATAAAATGCCCTTTGAACTAACGCTGTATACTGCTCAGTAAACTAGTAGTGATGGCCGGATGACAGGTGTTTTGAGATAAACTATTAGAAATTTTTAAAAAACTACTTGACCAATCGACTCCAATTTTGTTTTTCTTATTTAGAAGTATGAAGACTACGGATTTGAAGAATTTCAAGTAGCTGCGTGAAAGTATCGTCGCATTAGCAACAACTGCCGAAACCTGCATTTTGCCTCGGTTTTCAGCCATAACTCTTTTACTACTAGTCGGATCTTTTTACGTGTGGTTTCATTTTTTAGGTCTCATAGATACCTAAAAATCTTATTTGAAGAGTTTTTCCGTTCCTGCCAACGCTTTCCATTGAATCCCAAAAAAACACGTTTTCCCATTCTTTGTCGTCGAATAAGAAGTTCTCCCACAAAAATTGGTATACCCATTTTATGCGTCCATTTTTTTAATAACCCCTTGAACAAGTGTCATCAATAAAATCTGACTTTACAATTATCTCGGGAAAATTTGCTAATATGATTAGACTATGTAGCCAAAAACTTAAAATAGGCAGCAAACAATATCGAGCTAGGTAGCAACGCTTCTGAGATTTTGAGGTATTTCTGTTATTACACCCGATATAGGCACTGAAGCTATTATACTTATCGAGGGCGGTCCGATAAGTACTTAGCATCACCGCCCGATGGCGCCACTATCGCAAGAGAAATTTACTATTTATTATATATTGTTATTGTTGTGGTTTCTGTGGTTACTGTTTTGGTTATACTTAACCATGGAGAGTACAAATGGCACGAGTGGAAGTACTGAAAGCCAGGGAACAAGTAGACGGCTTCGTAAAGCACTGAAGAGGGACGC